TGGGGGGCCACAAGAGCAGGAAAAATCAACGAATCGACACCAGATGTGTATTAACTTAACACGTTCTAATAGGGGGCCTCCTGGGGCCTCCTGGAGGGAATCTCCTGCGGACCCCTGGGGCTTGTCCTGGGCGTCCTGCGGCCTCCTGGAGCTCTCTGGGGCCTCCTGGGGCTCCCAGGGTCCCAAGGAGGATCTGTAACATGTGGTCTTCTGGGCCCCCAGGCTGGACCACCTCTTGCGCGGCATCTGGGAGCTCAGAGTTGCGAGAATGTCTTGTGCGAAACAGGCCAGACCACCTTGCGCACGGCATCTCAGAGCTTAGAGTTGCGAGAATGTCTTGTGCGAAACGGGCCGGAACACCTCGCGCAAGACATCTCAGAGCTCAGAAGTTCGAGGATGTCTCAGGCGGGCTCCCAGGGCCCCAGGGAAGATATGTAACATGTGGTCTTCTGGGCTCCCAGGCTGGACCACCTCTTGCGGAGCATCTGGGAGCTCAGAGTTGTGAGAATGTCTTGTGCGAAACAGGCCGGACCACCTTGCGCACGGCATCTGAGCTCAGACTTGCGAGGATGTCTCAGGCGAGACGGGCCGGACCACCTCGCGCAAGGCATCTCAGAGCTCAGAAGTTCGAGGATGTTTCAAGCGAAACGGGCCAGACCAACTCTCGCGCGGCATCTCCGGGCACCTCGGGGCTCAGAATTTCGAGGATGTCTCAAGCGAAACGGCCCGGACCACCTCTCGCGCGGCGTCCCGGAGCGCAACTTTTCGAGGATGTCTCAGGCGAAACGGCCAATCCCGGCCAACTCAGAAACGAGAGTTGTGAGGATGTCTCAAGCGAAACGGCCCGGACCATCAAATTTTTGTGAGGATGTCTCTGCTCCGACTTCCCTCGGCCGGAGTTAGCTTCTACCACAACAGCACCCCGTTCAGCAAGCTGTTTGGGGAAAAATCGTGACGTCGGATGTCTGGGGAGGGCGGAAGGCAGTGCGCGCATGACGGATGCTGAGGCGGCAGAAACGACGACGGCGGGGGCGGGGAGGCGGAGGCAGAGGCGCAGCAGCGGGAGGCGGGAGGCGGGAGGAGGGAGGAGGGAAGAGGAACCAGGCGGGAAGTGGGAAGAGGGAGGCGGGAGAAGGAATGAGAGAGGTTGTGATTGGAGCTCCTGTGCTACGAAACGTCTCAGGCAGAATGGGCCAGACCATCTCGCGCGCAACATCTTCGAGCCTCGCATTGCGAGGATGGCTCAATCGAAACGGGCCGGACCACCTCGCGAGCGACATCTTGGAGCTCAGTATTGGAAGGATGTCTCAAACGAAACGGGCCGGACAATCTTTCGCACACGTTTTGACAAGTCCACATCGCACTCGCTTCCCGTTAGGTCCTGACCTGCAACTCCCTTCCTTCTCCCTCCTCCTCCTCCTCCTCCTCCTCCCCCTCCTCCTGCCTGCTCCCTCATGCACATCATCCGCCTCCTCCTTCTCCCTTCCATATCCTTCTCCTTCTCCTCCTCCTCCTCCTCCTCCTCCTTCTCCTCCTCCTCCTCCTCCTCAGCCGTTCTGGCCCAGTTTGGGGCTTGCAAGTGCCGTCTTCAGAGCGGTAATCGCACTTGCGGGTCTTTTTGGCTCGTCACGACTCAGTTTGCGGGATCTCAACCCGCCGCATTCAGTGAGCTCCTGGAGGAGCGTTCATGGTGGATCCAGATGTCCTACCAGGCCCGAGGGAGCCGAATTGGGGCTGTCACAGCTGCGGCCGCAATGCGAACTTTGCGAGCCGCATCAGATGCCAGTGCGGACAGTCTGCGCCGCGTAGCATCATCGACAGGGCGAAGAAGCGGGCTGAGGAGCACAAGCAGAAGTCGTCATCGTGTGGCGATGCTGTGCAGCGTCCTCCGCGTGGTGTTTGGGTTCGTGGTCCTCCTGTTCATGGCAAGGGAATCAACAAGCAGATCAGCCAGCTTCAGAAGCAGATGGATCAGTTTGTCAAGCAGTTCGGAGCTGCAGGTGGCAACCAACGTCAGCAGCCTGACGCAGCAGCCACCAGCGGTGACACTAATGTGGAGGTGCCCGCTGATGACGCAGGTCGGCAGATGCTGGCACATGTCAAATCACTCGAGGCCACTCTCAATGCAGTTCGGAATGATGATGCATTCCCGTCCGCAATCAAGGAGACGCTGGAGAAGAAGCTCAAAGATGCTAGGGCTCAACTCAACAGCCAGAAGCCGTCGCTCTCGCGCCACACCGCGTTGGGGCACAAGCTTCAGCGGACCCAGCAGAAGCTCGACAAGCAGGAGGAGGACATCAAGGTCCAAGAGGCCCTCATCAAGGCAGCGCAGGAGGAGCTGGAGGCCATGCAGGCCAAGGATCGGCAGCTACGCGTCGATGTGGAGGCCACGAAGGTTGAGCTGCAGACGACCATGTCGATGGTGGTTCCTCCTGCGGCCCCGTCCTTCGAGCTCAAAGCCGAGACGGTGCAGAGCGACCCCGAGGTGCAGCAGCTCATGTCCTCGGCCGCCTTCGGCAAGTACAAGGCGCTTTTGCAGGCACAGCTT